AGTGGGGGCGGGGGTCCTTATGTTGGCTGTGGTGTCTCACTGATTCTCATCCTCCACATCTTGCAGAGCTTCTTTGTTCTGTTCATCACCTGGATGGGGGAGGAACAAAAAAATAAATACGTTGAGGGGCAGACGAAGCGGCGGGTGCCGTGTGATACGCCCATGAGATACACATGCCGCCACATTGCAGCTACGGGGCGGGCGGGTGAGCATGCAGCCGGAGCTGGCCCCCCCTGGGTGAGGTGCCTTCTACACCCGCCGAGTCTCTGACACGCATCACACGATCAGCACACTGCACTCGGCTTCTTGCGACCGCTTACGGATCTGCGCCTCACATGCTCTCATCCCACTACCTGCGTCCTACAAGTTAAGTAACCAGACAGACTCATAGCTGCAGGTTTAATGCGATAATGCACAAGCAAGACTCTGAAGAAAGTGATTACTAATAAAGCTTGCTCACACCCACAGACAGGACAGTGATTGTTAAACTCAAAAACCAGGGGGAAGCTTAAAAAAAATGCAGAAACTGAAACAAAAATAACCAATATCAAATCTCAAAGTGTCTTAAAATCTCAGTCCATAATGCTCAATCTGCTCAAGATTTAACATTATTGATTTTGTCAAAAACAGATTAGCACAGAAGTTGGGGGGGGGCGCTTCAAAGGCTTTGTGCTTGATTACACAAGACAGAGTGCCAATTTTAAAGTGTAAGCCCCCCCAGCCCTGAGCTGCAGCCATGACTCCCAGTTAGCGGAGTGATCATGGCACTTAATCAAGTCCACTGCCGTTACCCCCGCCCCCCCAACAGGTTTCAGAAACTGGCACGTGAAAGAGCAGCCCAGAAGCCAGGGACAGTGCAGGACCGAGACTGTGACAGAGAAGCTGCTGTGACGCTTACATCACCCATCCTTTATCAGCCATGTTTCCATCCAACCGCACTTATGCAAAGAGAATCAAGCCCTGAGAAAAACATTCAGTAAGAGAAAACTGGTAGCTGGTTTAAAGTAAATGATTCAAGTTTAGTGTACACATTTCAATTAGTAACAGTAGGACAGAACCCACATTTGATATGCCAGAGAACAGTAACCAGTTATTTGCTTATTCAACGTGGACCACTAAGTGAAGGGCAGAGAAGAAACTACTTTAATCTAGTTATTCGCAAGAAAGCGAGATTGAGCAAAGTCTTATTTACATGCTGTGTGCTGCTGTTCATTTTATCGAGAGGTGGTTTGATGGAAACTCATACAGGAATATACTGTGCACTTTCAGCTAAAAGCATGAAACCTTTTCTTTTTTCTGACAATTTGATGGGAACATGTTAGTGTTTATAGTGCGGCCCAGCTGAAGTAGACCGACAAACATGGGACAACAGAGGCTGGAGAAGTGAGGAATGGACAGCCTCAGCTGGCCAGCACTATGAGGCAAATCAGTGCGAAAAACCAGTGCGGCAATGATGATGCAGTGAAGTTAGTGACAGAGAGAAACGCAGGCCAGCAAACATGACTTACAACGTACAGTTTTATAAGGAATGAGCAGCTGGGTTTTTTTCCTTAGGAATCTACACAAAAAGGGGAACGAAACAAAATGTGGGGCAACAGTCAGTATGTATCATTATGGTGTACAAGCAGAGATCTGAAAGGGTCAGAGATATGCGGAGAGGGGCAGATCTAAATGAGACAGAGAGATGAGAGACAAAACTGGGTCAGTATCCACCTGCCCACACAATCTGCAACTGGCCTCAGTGCCAAACCAGCAACATGTAAGAAAAGCAAGGGTGGCACCAAGGTGACGCCCACAGCGTTTCAGGTGGCACGCTGTACCCATCTGATCATCTGTTTTTACATCGCCTGCTCCTTACCGTCTCCCTGCATGTCTGAAGTCCATAATGTCAGATTGTCACGTAACAACTGCATGATGAGCGTTGAGTCTTTGTAGCTTTCTTCGCTCAACGTGTCCAGCTCAGCGATGGCGTCGTCGAAGGCTGCCTTCGCCAACCTGTAACGCAAGGCGGTGCAAACCAGCTGCCACTCACTGTCACCAAGGTGACGGTCCTTATCAACCAAACGCTGAACAGCAATATAAACGATCATGAAAGTCTACAAATGGAGGAACGCTTATTTATTTTTAGGAAAGACTTTTCAGTTAGAGGCAAAAAACGGAAAGGGGAGAGCACAGACCTGCACGCACGGTCGGGGGAATTGAGGATTTCGTAATAAAACACGGAGAAGTTGAGAGCGAGTCCTAAGCGGATGGGGTGCGTGGGCGGGAGTTCTATCATGGCGATGTCACTAGCGGCCTTATAAGCTACCAAGCTGTTTTCTGCCGCTTCCTTCCTGTCGTTCCCTGTAGCGAACTCCGCCAGATACCTGTGGTAGTCACCTTTCCTGAGGGATGGGAGAGAGATGGTGGGTCGGCTTCCTCGTGAAAACCCTCCATGTCCACTCTAACCTACAGTCCCCTCAGAATAGGAGCCTGTGGTCTGCATATTGATAGTTATACATACATTTTATAATAGAAAACCTTCGACTCGCCCGTGTTTGCGGCGGGAATGAGGTGCTTGTCCAGTACATCCAGAATGTCATTACAGATTGACTTCAGTTCAGTCTCAACCTTCAGAGAGAAAAAAAAAAAAAACTTCAGATTAAACACAATCATAACTGGCAGATGAATTCATAAAAATACTGACTACAAATATCGCCCATCCGAATGTGGATTGTTTTTCTTTGAATGAAAATGATTCATCTGATAAAGGCCAGTCGTGACAAGCAATCTCATGCAGAGTATGGGACGTGAGGGCGCCCTCTGCTGTACGAGTCACACAGTGGCAGGCGCTGGATCACCGTTTGCCTGTACTCGCGGATCATCTTCAGCTTGTCCTCGCCGCCCTTGTTCTCCTCCTTCTGCTCGATGCTGCTGATGATCCTCCAGGATGCCCTTCGGGCTCCAATCACGTTCTTGTACGCCACAGATAGCAGGTTCCTCTCCTCTACAGTCAGCTCCACATCCATGCCTGCTACCTTCTTCATAGATTCCACCATTTCTGAGAGAGTAGAGAAGCCCTTAAGCACTGCGGTATCACCATATGGAACAGGTTGGAGAAATCTGGCAGTAGCAGACAGATGGATTATGAGGAACAGGCTTTCAAATGCTTCGTTTGAGAAGATGAGAATCTTAATGCCGAACGGTACATGTCCTTTTCAATTATCTAGAACTCCAGGGTTATCACTAAAAACGACATGGACAAGCTGACAAGAAACCTCAATATGAAGTCTTGGATATAAAGCTCTTTTGATACATTTGTGCGCACTGAAAAAGTGACCAATAAAAATATTTCAACTCCTCCTTGTTGCAGGTAAAAAGGAGAGTCAAGCGATCAATGCATCCCACTTTGAAAACACCAGGCAGCCCTCTTCCATAGCACACCCTTCAAAGGGAATGTTCTCATTAAAAATAAAGTCTCCGCTCCCATATCACTTCTCATTATTTCACAGCAGGACCAGGCCTACAGCTTAATATTTTAAAAATTAACACAAACAGCGGGTATTGGAAGCACAGAGAGCTCAGTTCAGCTGCCCATCCAAAGCAGCTTCCACAGCTGTCAGACCCTCCCATTCTAACAGCTGCACGTTTACCAAGTTACGTAAAACACAACCCTCCTGAATCTCGAACCTGTAAACCTGTTAAACGTTCCTATTTCACAGTATACTGCGTCTACATTAAATGATAATACCATACATTTTATTTACTTATACAAGCTCTTAAAGAACTTCTTTACCTTTTAATTTGTAGTTAATTTTATGCAAAGGAACATCTTTGCAGTATAAAAACCCCATTTGTTTCACAACATCTTAAGCAACCAATAACCAACTGTGCAAATGCTAATTCTATGTACCAGCTGATTAGGCAGTGATAGAATTTGAAATGTACTTACTGATACTCCAACTGCAACACAGTGAAATGACATAAGGCAGTCAGGCATACAACATTACTTGCCAATTATGTAAACCACAATGCAGGTTTTACCAATATTGTACTGGATAACGCAATTTAAATTTTGGTAAAATTATGGCCACATTAATTATGAGAGGCAATGAAAATACCACAGTTATTGTTGTCATCCTTCCCTTCCTTTGAAATCTAGTAAAAAATGGAGGAACTAACTGGAAATCTACATTTACTGTTAAAGTGGTCCCCCGTTCTTAAATGGAAGCAGGAGCGCATGCTTGAGAAACACTGAGGCTTTCCTAAAGTGCTGACCTGGACAAATGGATAGATGGATTTGGAGTTTCCTTTTCAGTGGCAAAGGTAGCAAACTGCCCTTTTCCCTTTCACAATCTCACATGTTCTGTCTGCCCCGTCATCGTCTGGACTGTTGGGTAATGCTGGTATCTTATTGTAATGACTAATATTTATAAAGTGCTTCCATGCCGCGGCAAAACGCAGTTCTGTTTCACTGATACTACCAAGTCTGAAATAATCTTTGGTGAAATTATTTCTCACAGAGTTGCTCTCAAGAATGTTCTGAGCCAGGTTAATGAGAGTGTTTACTAGCAAAAACTCTCAAGAGGGCCCAGTGATTCCACCCCAGATATTTCTGGGTACTAGGTTTTAAGGAACGTTTATCTAAATTCCAGCTGCAATCACTGCACTCCAGTCACTCCTAACTGAAATTTTATGGCATCCTCCGCAGAACACAGGGAATTTGAATGTGAAAAAACTGCAGCTTCTAAGCAAATAAACAAAGAAACTGAATGTGAAATTTAAATTAATCAAATCCTCATATTACCCAAAACTACACAGAGAAGATAGGAAGACCACCTGAAAATGCAGTAATATTGCATCCATTCACATTGTCATGTTGTCTTCCCCATAACAGAAACTATTACACACACAACACCTATAATCAGCAGCTACACTACCATCCCTATCAACCCCACCCTGACCAAATAATCCATATATTACAGCATGAGTGCTGCTGCAACAGACGCGATTCTAAATAAAACTGCACTTCAGCTGCCTCCCAAACAGGCACAAATTGCAAAAAGGACAAGTTTCTGTCTGCCTCGTTGGTCTGGGCTTCCAGGAGAGGTACTTCTAAAAATAGTCTTTCAACTAGTTTTCATGTTCTTGTATAAAATGCATTACATAACGTGCGTGACTGTACCCGTATGAATCGGCCTGCCTCACTGAAATTGGCAATGGATCGAGCCTTTCTGCTCAGCAATAACGCCCCATTACAGAGGTGGAGATGAGGGGAGATGGGTTCACCCCCCGCGAAACAGACCTGTGCATAGTAAAAAGGGTGGGGCTGATGCAAGGTGACAAACACCCCAAGTCACCTTTTTAGAAACAGAGGTCAAAATCTGATAGCGCCGATTACAGTGTAACCATATGCAGCCCCGCCCCCTCAACCTGAACGGGCTTCTCCGCCATGGAGTCGCGCCGTCATGACTCTGAAAATAGACCCTGCCTGGCAACAAAGAAATCCAGGCATATTTTGCTTTGATTATTACTACGTCGACGACGTCGACTACTACAGCTACCGCTAACAGTAATAACAATAGATGTAAATGTGGCCACCGGGGAGAGGTAGATTTTCATTTTCTATCTCCAATGAATGAACTTTGTGAATCGGACAGGATCAGGGAGGAGCCATTAACTTGATAATTATGGCACACCGTCCGTTTCATTGCCAGCACCTTTATCTCACTGGTGAAAAGCTGATGGTTACGTGTTCAGGGAGACATTCGCCCGTCGCCGAAACGCGTGCGCTAAGCTATGCACAAGCCCGGGATTCGCAGTCCTTCATTTGACGTTATCTGCACATCATCGCCATCTTTGCTGGAAATCCACACCCACTCGTCCCGATTCAGAGGCAGATTATACTGTACCGCCTCTCTATTTCAAACAAACTACAGTTAAAGTATGAAATGCAAGCAAAGTACGTAGCCCAAGTGCTGGCGATATTAAGAAGACGGTATTTTAAAATGAGCTTGTAAGCATGCGATACGCTGCTCACCACACCCACATAAACAACTGAAATAACTCGCACATCAGCAAACGGCTTACCCGAACTGGCAGCGCATCACTGAGGTAATTTACCAGCTGAATTGTAGCGTAAACTATTAACGACCGCTGGCGTAGTGCATCTACACGTTTGGCTTCATCAGCAGCTACTTAATCTTGCTGGCTTTTAAAGTGAGTCACTGAAGTACTGGGCGTGAAATTACCAGCCTAACACTGAGAAGTGTGGCCGCTACAATGCGGTTCTACACGGGTGGTGATCTTAACTAGCTGTCTGCTTAATCGTTTGCCTAGTTAGCTTTATTAATAGCAAACGAGACAAGTTTGCTTTCAGGAGCGCCGACCAGCTAGCGAGCTTCCAAACGCACCGATGTAGGTTAAATGGCAAGGACAAAGGGATCGCATGCATTTATATGAAACTGGCTCTGGGACTAGTAATTGAAACTTTGTTTAAATCCCAACTGGTAACACTCCAGATTGCTATTCTCCTAAATCCATATCCCATTACACACCACCCCACCCCTTCAAAAAAGAAAAAAAAAAACACAGATACACACTGACAGTCCCACCGCCTCGCGAGCCAGCAGTCTCATCTTAAATCGAATTAATGGATCACATTCCGGTTGCTGTCTGACTTTACTCCAAATCACCTTTATTAAAGCGCTTCGATAAACGGACTACCCACGTGTGTAGGGAGAGGGGGGGGGTCGGGTAAACTCTAACCAGAAAACCTTTTTTGAGTCTGACGCCGAACACCCCCCACCCCAGCCCGGCGTCGCCCGTCAGTCTGGGCCGGCCGAATGCACGCGCTTCTCCGCATCTCGCGCCGCCCGCGAGCCAGCGCTGACGCCCGCACGCAGCCCCGTGCAGCCGCAGCACGACGACTTTAAAATAACGGTGCGCCCGAAGTTCGGCTAGTGTTAGCTTAGCCAAGCACCCACACATCTTTACTTCATAACTATTTTAAAAATCCACCATATAGACTGCAGACTTGTTTATCTAACTGAAGCAATTCAAGTGGGTAGCTACAAAACTGGCAGGCAAGTTTAACATTCATCACGCAAATCCATGTAGCAAGGTTTGTAACGTTGCTGCTTAGTCATAAGCTAAGACTCCAGCCATCTCAAGATTAACATGAATGACTAACGACTAAACTACAGTGATTTCAACCATCCAGTCATGTCTGTCTCTCGCTTAGAGCCGAATTTCAGGCCGCCTTTCAGAGCTCGCTAACTACTAAAATCTGCCCGACCCGCCATTTTGTATCTTTCACGATCTCTCTTCCAGCATCTCCATCTTCAAACCACCTCTCCTCTTTTCCAGAGTCCCCGCTAGAGGGAGAAGGAGCGGAAGATAGTGAATGGGAGAGAAATCTATGCGCTATCGAACATGTCTTCCAGCGGAGCCGTGGCTTTCGGCGCTTACCGTCGTATCTCTCCGCTTGCTCGGCAAGCTTGGCCTGGTAGACTAGATCGTCTCTGTCTCCCATATTGCTCGGAACCGCGGCTGGCGTCGGTGTGCGGGCGGAGAAGCGGAGCCTCGGCGACGGGCAAGTCTGTCTCTGTCGGCGGTTCCTGACGGAGCAGCGGCGGCTTGAGCGGCGTCCCCCACTCTACCGGTAGCACTGGAGTAAAGATGGCGACGGAACTCCATCCGGGAAACCAAGCCAGTCCCCCCACCACACACACCCATAGCCGCCTCCCTTTCTGTCTCTCTCACACTCACACACTCCATAATAGACCGTGCTTCCTTCATTTCTTGTTCGAGCTCACCACTATAGCAACCTCACCATGGAAACACTAGTGCATGGTTATAAATCTTTATAGTAAATGTAGTGTTCAAAAAACAATTATCGCGTCCACACTAGTGGTAGTTAAACAGATAGTTGGCCTGTTTAATATTCCTAAGTGGCATAGTGTAGGACGAGATTTTACTGCAGAAATGGTCAGAAATTGATGTCATGTTTCATATTTTAATTCATATTACCTTTTACAGATTTCTAGCAGTTTTGTGCATGTTGCATATAAAAGCAGTAGTGAAACCAAGTACATTACTTATTCAGTAAGTCCACCTTCATGATTTCTGGCTCCTATCTTGGTCCTTTGAAGAATTTAGGACTGATATTGGTACTGAGCAAAAATACATTTTTGGATAGGACAGGAACTTTATTTTCCCTGTAGAGAAACTATTTTTTGGTGGATAAAACATGTTTGGTGTGACAATACAGGCAAACACATAAAACATTTCGACCTTTAACATTCCTTTAAAAAATGTTGTCTATGTAGTTTCCACCAGTTGTTCAGTCAGTGTCCTCCAGATAGGCAGGTTTGAAGTTCCTCAATGGCTGGCTTATTCTGATGCATAAACATGTTTAACATTTAATCTTTTTCATATTTCTCAGAGGATGTACATCTGTTAGAGATTTTCCTGTGGACTAGCGATGATTGAGATAAATCACTTCCCATTACAAACACACAGCAACCAGCAAACTGGCCAACCAACCTCCTTAAATTGTACTGGACCTATTAAGGTTAAGTGCCATGCTAAAGGAAAGCTACTCATAATTAGGTAACAGTTCTGCATCTTTAATGACCATGGTTACAAGGTTACTATGTAACCTGCCAGAAGCAAAGGGCTTGTCTGGGATTGGGAGTAGAGCCTAGTTTCACCTAAAGCAAGAATAACTCGTCCTATAGAAAAGAGCCATGGCAGCTGACACATTCATTTGGGCTGGTGTGTGTATCTTAACTTGATGAAAATAAGGATCAGAGAATAAGTAGCAGAATTAGTGATGTTTTTCACCATAAAGGATAGTGCTGAGTTGCATTTAGCCACTGCTGAAAGCATTCAAAGTTTAAGTAAAAAAGCTTTTTATATGGGGGTGGTATGTGACTCAGCAGGATAGGACACCATAACTGTGATTGGAAGGTCACTGGTTGAAGTCCCAGGCACGATATAGTGTGATTTTGCCGTTGAACCAACAAGCAAGGCCCTTAACTGCCAGTTTCTCCAGGTACTGACACTGTCTTCTCAATTACATGTCGCTTTAGATAAAAGCATCTGGTAAAATCATATAAATGGAGCTCAAAGTCATGCTTTTTTTACATTTACACCTCATAATAATTTGCAATAAATATATTTTGAAAAGTTAAAAATAAAGTTGTGAATGATGCTAAGGCAGTGAAAGGAATCATTACTGTAAGAGAGAAAGCATGCTTTTAAAGGTGAGACTACAAGAGAGAAAGCATGCTTTTAAAGGTGAGACTACAAGAGAGAAAGCATGCTTTTAAAGGTGAGGAGACTACAAGAGAGAAAGCATGCTTTTAAAGGTGAGGAGACTACAAGAGAGAAAGCATGCTTTTAAAGGTGAGGAGACTACAAGAGAGAAAGCATGCTTTTAAAGGTGAG